GTGGAAGTGGAATCACTAATATGGGGTGCCTATTAGTGCTCCAAGTGGCTTTTGTCCTCACTTTTTTTACGGATTGCTGTTTTTCTTTTGATGGAGTAGAGTACCAGTAGCAGCCTAGCAGGTAGTACACAGAGAACGGATCAAAAACGAAAATGGGGAAAGTCGGCGGTGGCTACCGGTCGGTACAACCTGCTTTGGGTTGAAGATAGCTAGAGGGAGGGATTCATATAAGTCGTATTATGTGACAAAATGGCGACATATATATTCAGGGAATTCCATATATGTCGCGTTCTGCGACAAAATGGCGAAGGTTCGCACAGGGATGAAGCGAGCGAATGAGTTATGGGCCGGCGCATTTGTACAACGCGGGCGCAGTACGCGATCCGTTTTGGGAACCTTCCATACGTTTTGGAAACCTTCTAGAAGGCTCCTAAGCTGGTTTTCTCTTTCCTGATGTTTCTTCCACTGGTTTTTCAGGTTTTTTCTTTTCTGTTTCTTTTGTAAAAAATCAAAAATCTCAAATTTCAAAAAGTGTTCTAATTTTAGTATTTTTTTCAAAATTCAAAAAATGTTTGTGCTTTTCAAAAAAAAGCAAAACTTCAAAAACTGTTCCTATATTCAATTTTTGTTCAGAAGTTTTTTTGAAAAAAAATCGCGTATTCAAAAAGTATTCCGAGTATTGGAACAGCTGTACTCCGAGTACGAATCATCACTTTGGTGCAGTTGTAGTCTGCATTACTGCATAATAATGCAGCCAGTCACTTTCATCTACCAAAAGGAGTACTACTGTACCACTAGCCAGCAAATTGTCTGATGCAAAGACAATACTTTCCCGAGCACAAGAGAACTACGCAGGATTTTATTTCCCCCCACTTTTCTGGTGTGCCAACCAGCCAGAGCAGAGCAGAGCAGAGCAGCCTCCGGCCATGTCGGCGGGCAAGGGGAGGAAGACGGCGTGCGTCACCGGAGGGAGCGGCTACATCGCTTCAGCACTTGTTAAGATGCTGCTCGAGAAAGGCTACGCTGTCAGGTTGGACTCGATCCCGATTCTTCTTTCCAGTTAAGCTAGTCCGTTGCGTGTGTGCCGGTGATTTTCTTTCTTCTTTCCCGAATTCGAGTTGAAATCGGAGATTGGCTGGCGCCGACCGTAACTTTTGTTTGGGCCGTCTGATTTCTTTAGGAGATTCAGGCAGCAAGGCATGCGTGCCGAATCCTAGATGCAGCGTACAGTGTTATTTTTGCTTGGAATTGTTGCGTTCGGCGTTCGCCTATAACTGAAGATTCTGCAATTCTAGATGGCACGGAGAAGAACTCCCACCTCGAGGACCTGCAAGCGCTTGGCCCCTTGGAGATCATCCGTGCCGATCTGAATGAAGATGGCAGCTTCGACCAAGCTGTTTCTGGCTGCGACTACGTCTTCCCCGTGGCCGCTCCGGTGAACATGTTGTCAGCAGATCCCGAGGTAAACACCCATCTCCATGACGCTTCGTTTCCATTTTCTTACACAATTCTTCTTCCAGCATCGCTATGTAATGCTGATCTAGTTGGTGAGTTGGAACGAAGTCTTCACGCTGTCACCCGTCACTTGTTTTGTGACAAATGGTAGTTCTCAGATACAGAAAACTTTTGATCGTGTACTTCACCCCGCTAATGTCATTTCAGCATTTGGCAACCCAATTTTTTTTTCCGATAAAGGGCGATTTTGTTAATTCAAAATGTAGCATCAAGTGCATACAAAGCATTATGAGTACACGATCAAAAAGCTAGCAATCCTGCTAGCAATCTTCTTTTTTCCTTTTTTCTTTCAACTTGATCACTTGCTGCTTATAAACTGAAAGGTACAGGAAACTAAAAAGCTCTGTACTATGGGAAACGATAACCATCATCCGGCGGATTATAACGCACGTGTGCCACACGTCCCATGTGGGGCCATCATCAATCATTCTTTTTTCCTTCTTATCTCCGTAGCTAACGACCGAGAGCCACTAAGGATGGCAATTTTACCGGTGGATACGGGTACCCGCATGGGCCGGATATGGGCATAAATTTATACCCATGGGTAGTACCCATACCCTACCCGTTAAGTAGTGGGTAGGGCACGGATATAGACTTGTACCCGTGGGTATACTCATACCCTACCCGTTTAGACTGACGTATGGACCTTACCTGTGGAGCTACATCATGTGGACCTTACACAACTAAGCAAGTACTCATCTATTCCTCGTAATTAAGCATCACACCTCGTAATCTCCTCTCCCAAAATCAAGGAGAATGAAATCCCAGGAGCCGGCCCTCCCCCATTAATCCTGCCATAGACATTCTCATCGAGCGAATTGACCCATCGGCCATCGGCCATCGTCCTGCAGGTGCCTCCGCGAGCATGGAACCGGCGACGTCGCCACCGGCCTCGAACTCCTGCCTCTAGATCCTCCACCTCCAGCCCTCCCCAACTTTGGGTGGCGGCTTGCCGGCAGTGAACATTTTTTCTATACACATCTAACATTTTTTCAAATGCTTGATCAACATTTCACAAATAATTGTCCAACTTTTTTTTGAAATGCTTGATTAATATTTTTATATACATAATAAAAAATCATCATTTTTTAATACATGGTCAACATTTTTCTATACATATTTAACATTTTTTCCAATGCTTATTCAACATTTTTTCAAATGCTTGATTAACATATTTATATACATGATCAAAAAAATTCATCATCTTTTTAGTATATGGTCAACATTTTTTATTTACACATTTAACATTTTTCAAATGCTTTAGCACCATTTTTCGACTACTTATTCAACATTTTTTCAAATACTTTATTAACATGTTATATACATGCTCGAAAAAATTCACATTTAACCAATTCACAATTAATACATGGTCAACATTTTTCCTATGCACATTTAACATTTTTCGAATGTTTATCAACATTTTTCAAATACTTGTTCAAAAAAATCAAGTGCATGATTAACATTTTTTAATACATGATCAAATTTTTATACATGTTTCTTATAAATTTTTCGTATACGTGATAAACCTTTTTTCTATACACATTAAACATTTTTCAAATACTTTTAGAATATTTGAAAGTATAAACAAAATTGAAAAAATAAAGCAAGACAATGAAACAGAAAACGTAAAAATACAGAAAAAGGGGGGTGTTGCCTCCCGCGCTATTAATATATTCCCCTTTAAAAAAAATTGACGTGCATGCTTCCACATCATCTAAATTGTTGCAGCCATTAGATTTACTAACTTGATCCATTGACATCCGTCCGATATATGCATGAGCATCCTCTATCACACGGCATGCATTAGTACATTTTAAGTGGCTTTAGACTACACTGCATTTCATTGTGACATGCACAACATGTCATGTTGAGGCTTTTTGCTTATGAAGAATTCTTTTCACATAGTTTAGATCGTAAGGACTGAATTAGTATTCTACACAATATTCAGAAACTATATATCTAATTCCGTGGCAACCGGGTAGGCATTGTCTAGTTCATATAGAAGTAGAAGAACCTAGTAGTATAAAGAAAACGCTGGCCAATTGCTCACAGTTGAGCTCGTGGGTTGTATATTACAGTGCACAGAGACCTATTGATCAGCCACCAGTCCATCATCACTTTCTGACAGGGAACTATGCATGTAATGCAGGTCATTTTTCAACAACTTAAAAGAACCTTCTGCATTACTACTAGCCTGCTATTCTCTCCGGACGGAGGGAGTGTTAATGCAGGTTCCTCTTTCCCCCAGAGGATATGATATGATATTTGCAGCTCATCATAGTGTGCCAACAACCACTCCAGAGGAACCACCTTACAACCTCTCGTTCCTGAAGCGAGGGGAGCAAGCGAATAATCCTTCTCTTTTCCACGAGAGGTTCGATCGAGTGGTGGCCGGCGATGTCGGCGGGTGAGGGGAAGAGGACGGCGTGCGTCACCGGAGGGAGCGGTTACATCGCCTCAGCGCTCATCAAGCTGCTGCTCCAGAAAGGCTACGCTGTCAAGACCACCGTCAGAGACCCCGGTTCGTTTCTTGTTTCTTTGCTTCAGTATGTACGTACTTGAGCAACTTTTCCTTCCGTGTTTGAGGTGAGAGTGAGATCATAGGTTCTAAACTTGAGTTTGAGGCGAAATCTTGTACTCGGTTCTGCAGAACCGATTGGATAAAACATGTTTATTCTATCCAGTCTGCTAGCCGAATCACCAAGCTGAAATTGATGGAAACTGTTTTGGTCAGAGTGGTCTCAACTCTCAACCCACCATGTTACGTCTCTGAAGATTCTGTAAGCTGTATATGCAGATGACATGGAGAAGAATTCCCACCTCAAGGACTTGCAAGCGCTTGGCCCCTTGGAGATCATCGGCGCCCGGCTGGACGAAGAAGGCAGCTTCGACGACGCAGTTTCCGGCTGCGACTACGCCTTCCTCGTCGCCGCTCCGATGAACATCGGTTCAGCAGATCCTGAGGTAAACAGACATCTCCACCAAGCTTCGTTTCCATCTGCACGACTGTTGGGAGGTGTAGTTGTTGGGATGTGGGACACCATTTAAGTTGTCAGCATCAGCCATAACTCACTCTCTGACTATTGTTCACCCCACCGTTGTCCTTTGGGGATAGCTTATTTTCTCTTTGGCAACTCAAACATGTTAGTTTATTTTCTCTTTGGGGATAGCTTACTGTGCTTCGTGTTGGACGGCAGAGAGATCTGATCGAGCCGGCCGTCCAAGGAACACTCAACGTGATGAGGTCGTGTGTGAGAGCGGGGACGGTGAAGCGGGTGATCCTGACGTCGTCGGACGCCGGGGTGTCCAGGAGGCCGCTGCACGGCGGCGGTCACATGCTGGACGAGGGATCCTGGTCCGACGTCGAATACCTCAGAACCAACAGGCCACCAACTTGGGTACATAAATCATTGTGCTCAGTCTCTCTCTCGCCTGGACATTTACATTCGATGGAAGCTTTTGTGTATGTGCAATTTGTATCGTAGGAATACGCAGTGTCCAAGGTGCTTCTCGAGAAGGCGGCGAGCAAGTTTGCGGAGGAGAATGGCATCAGCCTCGCCACCGTGCTGCCCGTGTTCACCTTGGGCGCGGCGCCGGTCTCCAAGGCCAGAACCAGCGTCCCCGTCACCCTCTCCCTGTTGTCCGGTGAGAGAGGCGTCCCCGCCATATATAGCATTTCTCTGTTTTTTCACAGCATGATCAGTGCTTGCTAGCTGAGTGTTAATTTGACCGCTGACATATATCTTTCTCTCCTCTACATTTTCCAGGCGATGAGACACAGCGGGACATCCTGATGGGCCTGCAGTCGGTCACCGACTCCGTGTCGATATGCCACGTGGAGGATCTGTGTCGCGCTGAGGTGTTTGTCGCCGAGAACAAGTCCTCGGCGGGCAGGTACATCTGCTGCAGCCACAACACCACCGTCGTGCAGCTTGCCCGTCTCGTAGCCGAAAAGTACCCACAATACAATGTGAAACTTGAACGGTATGCCAACAGTCTATCTGAACCGTTGGCACGCACGCATCTACTCCTGTGTTTTTAACACGGGTTTAACGATATCCAAATATATACTTATGTAGCTTTGCTGGGTCCCAAGAGAAGCCAAGAGTGTGTTTATCGTCTCAGAAGCTCATCGGGGAAGGGTTCGAGTTCAAGCACGATGATTTAAGTGAGATCTTTGACGACCTCGTTGAATACGGCAAGACCACGGGGATACTTCCCTACTAATATGTCTGTTATCTGCGGACGGATATGTAACCGGAAGAAAATAACGTGTCTTAGCAGAAGAACCCATGCTTGTAGTTTCTTTGAGGGGTAACCCATGCTTGTATTTTTGGTGCGTGAAGATGTTTAGTTCTTTGCCTGTGTGGCAAAAATAAATAAATATTATTTTGCTAAATGTACGTGTCGTGCATATCACTGTTATAACATCAAAAAAGACTTCCGCTCTGCTTTATAAATAAAATCAGCATCATGTCCATACAAAAGGTTCAAGCGTAGTATAGAATTAAAAAAGTCTGCTGGGGCCTCTGTGGATACCCCAAGCCTCTTTCTGACCTCTGTATCATCATAGGGTATAAGGTCATGGCCAAAAAAAGGACCGGGTATCTCAAAGCCACAATTTTTAGGGTTTTATATTACTAAATCCCAACTTCAGTGCAGGACGAATGTTTTTATCGCAAGGCAAAAAAAAAAAGAACTATGGTCTGGCTTGGATCTAGACCAAGGGACGTTTTGGACGCTATCGAGCGTGATGTATCCTTGATTGAGTTTTTTTTCGAAAAGGGTGGTTCGCCCCAGCCTCTGCATCAGAACGATGCATACGTCCATGATTATTAATGAGCAAAAGGTCCAACACAAATCTCTAAGTCTCGAACAAAAACCAAAAAAAGGCTCACGAAGAGCACGAACAGTAATAGAAAAGCCATAACCGGCTGGCATAAAAAGATAGGAACACTAAATGCCTATCCTATTACATGACTGCCATCCAAACCGGTTGAAAATATCTCATGCTACCATCTCCCATCGGGTAGATCCAGTAACCAAACGCTCTCTGGCCTCCGTCGGAGTGAGTGGCAACCACATACGGATCAACGCAGTGGCTCGGAAGATAACTTGCAAAAAATGAATATTTGTTGTTCTGTTAAAGACCAAATCAATTCTGCAGTTCCAAATTGCCCATAATAAAGCACATACTCCTACACGAATGTGTCTCGCCGTGTCAAAATCTATCCCATCAAGCCACGTCCCAAATAACATGGTGATGGAATTCAGAGGAGTAATGTTAAATGCCATGTGAACCGTCTGTCACATAATTTTTGCTAGAGGGCAATCAAGAAAGAGGTGTTTTATTGATTCATGTTGGTCACAAAAGCTACATCTCGTATAACCTGTCCAATTGTGTTTTGCCAAATTGTCCTTGGTTAAGATAACTTGTTTATGTACAAACCACATAAACACTTTGATTTTCAAAGGTACTTTGACTTTCTAAACATGTTTCGATCGGGGAATCGTGCTAGAGTTGATAACATCCAAGTACATGGATTTAACTGAAAACTCTCCATTCTTAGTTAGTTTCCAGCACAATTTATCGGGCTATTGAGACAACTGAGCATCCATCAATCTTCTCACAAGATTGAGTCAGGCTTCCCAACGGCTCCTTAGGGCATCTCCAGCCGTTGTGCTCCCCAGCCGGCATTTTTTTTGCTTCTTGGGGTTGGCCCGGCGAAATATTTGGCATGGGATCAAGAACTTTCCCAGACGTCGTCCTCCCCAACCGGCCCCGAGCGCGCCACGCCTCCTACCTGCTCGCATGCATCGCGACACCTCATTCTCCCCCTACTCTCTCCCTCGCTCCCTGTACGCCATGGCCGAAGTCGCCGTTTGCTCGCTCTCGCTCTCTCCCACCTCGCCGCGCCAGCTCCCGCATCTCCGCCCGCCTCGACGTCGCGGCACTCGCAGTCGTGTCCTGTCCCCTCTCCCCTCCCCGCCCTCGCAGCCCTGCGCGACTCCGCGCAGCGCGCTCCCTCAACGAGCAGCAGCCTCGCTCGAGCAGGGGGGAGACAGGAAGACGAGCAGCAACAGTCGCGGCCACAAGGCCGGCTACTGCTACTGAGCTTCTCACTGAGCCCCCTTGAGCTTCTCTGGTGAGCACCGCCGCTCCTGCCTCCCCTCCTAAGCTCCATCTCCTCCTCTAGCTAGTTGGCCGCAACCGCCGGTTCTGCCGTCCGCCATGAACGAAGAACGACTCGATGTCGAGCTGCCCGAGTCCACTCCTGCTGCCCGTCATGCTCTGCGAGCTCACAGTAGTCCGCCTAGCCGCTCGCTACGCTCGGAGACGAGCCGTAGCAGCACGACACGGCTGCTCCGGGGAGGCGCGACGGGGGGCCAACGACGGGCGACGGGGCTGGCCGCTTGCGGCTCCTCCGGGGAGATGCGAGCGAGGCCGGTGACGGGAGACGGGGTCGGCCGCTTGCGGCTCCTCCGACGAGATGTGGGCAAGGCCAGCGAGGGGAGACGGGGCCGGCTCGCCGGTGGAGGGCGTCCAAGATTGCCGGAGCGAGGAGCAGGGGAGAGAGGAGAGAAAGCGGAGGAGCGAGGCGGGCATGCGGGAGAGAGCTTTTTTTTGCATGCATCACATGGTGGGCCAAGTTAGGAAAAGAAGGAAAGAGAGATTTAGAGAGGCTGGCAGTGGCCCTTTGGCAGCGAAAGTATCGCACCGGCGCCCCCAGCTGCCTCCCGCTTTCATGGGTTTCACTTGCGCGCACCGGCCGTAACTTTAGCCAAATCCGGCGAAAAACATGGTCGTGGGGGCCTGACTGGGAGCATTTTTTGCTGCCGGCGCTAAAAAAAGTGCTTGAGGGGCCTTCCTGGGGGGACGGGTGGAGATGCCCTTACTAGCATCCTCCTAAATTGAATGTTGAGCGGAGTAGACTGCAGTACTATTGCAACGTAAGCGTCTCTACGCTGAACAATGCTATACAGAGAAGGATATTGAAGTGCTAGGGGCGTCTCCCCTAGCCATGTATCCTCCCAGAATCTCGTAGCGGTACCGTTTCCAACTATGAATCTTGTTTTATTGAAGAAGAGTGATTTAACTCTCATCAGTCCTCTCCAAAAAGGCGAGTCAGTCAGCCTCACTGTCACCTGGGACAAGGTTCTAGAGTGGAGGTACTTATTACGTAAGATATGAGCCCAAGTGGCCTCTGTCTCGACAGAAAGCTTAAACAACCACTTGCTAAGAAGACATCTGTTCTTCACCTCCAGGTTTTCAATACCTAGACCCCCTTGGTCTTTCGGCCTATAGATTATATCCCATTTAGCAAGTCTGTACTTTCGTTTTAGCTCATCACTCTACTAGAAGAAGCGAGATCGATAGAAGTCTAGCCTCTTCCGGACTCCCACAGGAACCTCAAAAAAGGAAAGGAGAAACATGGGCATACTCGTGAGGACCGAATTAATAAGAATTAGTCGGCCTCCGTATGACATCAACTTGCCTTTGCAGCAGCTCAGTTTCTTCTCAAATCAATCCTCAATACACTCTCATTCTCTGTTGGTCAGCTTACGATGGTGAATTGGTATACCTAAATACGTGAAAGGTAAAGCCCCCAATTCATACTCGAACAATTGTTTGTACGCATCTTGGTCATCATTAGCTCTTCCAAAATAGAACAATTTGCTCTTGTGGAAGTTAATCTTTAACCCAGTCAATTGTTCGAATAAGCATAACACGAGTGAAAGAACGAGTATGTCGCCTAGAGGGGGGGTGAATAGGCGCTTTAAAATAATTACGGTTTAGGCTTGAACAAATGGGGAATAAACCTAGTGGTTAATTTGTCAAGCACAAAACCTACAACAACTAGGCTCACCTATGTGCACCAACAACTTATGCTAAGCAAGATAAACAACAAAGTGGTAGCAAGATATATGATAAGAAACAATATGGCTATCACAAATTAAAGTGCATAAGTAAAGGGTTCGGGTAAGAGATAACTGAGGCACGCGGAGACGACGGTGTATCCCGAAGTTCACATCCTTGCGAATGTTAATCTCCGTTTAGAGCAGTGTGGAGGCACAATGCTCCCCAAGAAGCCACTAGGGCCACCGTAATCTCCTCACACCCTCGCACAATGCAAGATGACATGATTCCACTAAGGGACCCTTGAGGGCGGTCACCGAACGCGTACAAATGGCAACCCTTGGGGGCGGTCACCGAACTCGTACACTTTGGCAACCCTTGGGGGCGGTCACCGATACCCGTCAAATTGCTCGGGGCGATCTCCACAACCTAATTGGAGACCCCGACGCTTACCCGGAGCTTTACACCATAATGATTGAGCTCCGAACACCACCAACCGTCTAGGGCGCCCAAGCACCCAAGAGGAACAAGCTCAAGGGTACCAAGCACCCAAGAGTAATAAGCTTCTCAACTTGTAACTTCCACGTATCACCGTGGAGAACTCAAACCAATGCACCAAATGCAATGAAAGGGCACACGGAGTGCCCAATTCCTTCTCTCTCAAATCCCATCGAAGCAACTAATGCTAGGGAGGAAAATGAGAGGAAGAACAAGAAGGAGAACAAGAAGAACTCCAAGATCTAGATCCAAGGGGTTCCCCTCACATAGAGGAGAAAGTGATTGGTGGAAATGTGGATCTAGATCTCCTCTCTCTTTTCCCTCAAAAACTAGTAAGAATCCGTGGAGGGATTGAGAGTTAGCAAGCTCGAAGAAGGTCAACAATGGGGGAAGAACGCGAGCTCAAAGGATAAGGTTCAATGGGGAAGAAGACCCCCTTTTATAGGAGCTCCCGAATCCAACCGTTATGTGCTCAGTCCGCGCACGAGCGGTACTACCGCTCAGGGGAGCGGTACTACCGCCCGGGCGGTAGAACACAGAGAGCAGATCAAAATAGAGGGCGAGGCAGAGCCGTATGAGCGGCACTACCGCTGGGGCCAGCGGTACTGCCGCTTGGCCCAGCGGTACTACCACACACGAGCGGCACTACCGCTCCTACTGCCGCTACTACTGCCGCTGAACCTGACACGAGAAAACCACGTCTCGAGTCGAGGCGGTACCAGCGCGAAACCAGAGCCGTACTACCGCTTATGGCCATGGGTAGTACTATCGTTGTGAGACAGCGGTACTACCACTTGTGGCGATACACAGTACTGCCGCTCTGGCCCCGCGGTATTACCGCTGGCACCAAACATATGCCACTTCCATAAAA